CATACATACATCCTTTTCGAAAGGGGCTCTCGTCGGCAGTGAGGCAGAGAGCCTGCACGATAATACTGAATGAAGTATACATAAACTTTATGTTTATTCGATGACAAAAGAGACGAGACGACAGCTTTTCTGCCGCAAACGCAATTATCGACGACTAACGACCTGCCGTTTGTATAAATCTGCCGCTTCAATCGTGAGTCCGCACGAATATCCCAGTCCGCTCCCCCCATGCCACCGTCTTCCTATTCATTCTGTTGTATGCTCGAATTCGCACCTTTTATTTTTTCCACAACTGCGCGACGCGCAATTATCAAAGTTCGCCGTGACAAAATAGATTCTTTATTATATTTTCAACCGGTCAGAGGGGGGAGGGTCGAGAAACGTTCTCAACTGCATCGATTGGAGATTCGATGTGTTTGCTTTTGACTCCGAAAACAGCCCGATCTTGGTCAGGCAAACTCGAGTCTATTTGACGTGGACGTAAAGGGGATTTCTGGTGTACCGTATAGGACAATGACGATGCACTATCCGTATGCTATTATTTGATCTTCCCTTCTGATGTAAAGCTCGCCAAGACGCGTAATTGTGGACCTAACAAAGTAAATATTTAATCTCTAATCAAGAGAATGTTATTAATCTTTCTATCAAAATTTATTTTGCTTCTCATAAAACATTAATAGTTAATGATATAAACAGGACATAAATAAAACACAAAATTTAATTTAGTTTAATATTTATATTAATTATTAATTTTTGCTTGATTATGAATACTTAATTTCGAGTAAAAACTATCGCGAAAATCACGGACTCACACCTAAAACATAGCTTACGAAACAAAATAAATAATAACTTTTTTCTAGCGCTGAAGTAAATTTGGATGAAAAATACAATAGAGGTGTCAGATTTTCATGTGAGTGCTGCGACTAGAGTTGCACATTTCCCGAGGATAACATTTTTTCCAAAACAGCCATACATATACAAAGCTCCACCGAGTCACAATTCATTCATAAAAATATTTCCTAGCACGTCTGCTTGACGCGCAGGGATTCTACATGAAGTACCGAGTAGAGCGAGAGGGAAAGAGAGAGAGAGAGAGAGAGAGAGAGAGTATGTGCGTGAGGGAGTGTTGAAAATGCAAAATACTTTTTCAAGTAGTGCCTAGCAAGAGCAAATACGAATATTTTCCCTTATTTATGCGGAATGAAATCGTGTCATCATGAAACAGTGGTACTACTCATCGATGTTCGTGCCTTTTTCCTCCGCATTTCCATGGAAGCTTTCAATCAATCGGTCCATTGAAAAAGTCATTCCAGCAGAGTGAAGAAAGAGAGGGATAGAGCGGAGCAGAGAGCAAAGCGCGTTCTTATTCGCGCATGACAGCGAACGCGCCATATACCTACCAAGCGTGTAGATTAAAAGAAATTGCTCGCAATTGAGGTTGACGAATGTGTCATCGCCGCAGACATCGGTTAATTTTTAGCGTATATACGTAAAGCTCGAGGCAGCTCGTCGGTGTAAAGCGGAATCGCCGGGAAATTAGAACACTCGCGTGGACATTGTTAATGAAATTACTATTCTACGGCGTCGACGCTTCCCACCAAAAAGGCTACTCTCTCTCTCCCCTTCGCTCTTTCCCTCTCATTTGTCTCTTTTACACCTAGTTATTTCTCTCTTGGATTTTCGTTTGTTCGGTTATTCTGCCGTCGTCACCTCGTGAACATTTCACCCTTGTTTTATCCCCGACGTAAAAAAGGTAAAACTAGAGCTTTTTTCTTCACAACCTAGCGGAGAGGGCTTTTAAGCACACGTGCAATTGCACGACGCTTTTTTTGTATACATTAAAAAAAAAAAAAAACCTCTAGTGTCGAAGACGAGACATGCTCGAGATTAAATAGAGCCGTACAAGTATGCACATATCTTGCAAAAAATGAGAGTAATTGCAGAGAAAATTTAATTATTGCATTCTGCATCGCACCATCCCATACTATGTGTATTATATGCGTTCCCCGTAATGATGTAAGAATGTATAAAAAAGTCTCTCGATTTTTTCTATATTTCTCTTCTTACTTGAATTACATTCAGTAACTGTAATTCGTGTGCTCTACGCTAGAGTTTACTCTTAGCTGCTGTTAGCACCCTCTACAATGTTATATCTTTTCCTTTCATAAATAGCTGTACGAATGAACCTGAAAAAGTATATTTCTTAAAATTTGCGTAGTTTAGAAACGTAGTATTTTGTAACGCTAATCACACTTATGAATAAACAGTCTTTTAATTACTTCACATCATTTCATAAAACTATATCTGAGGCTTTTAAGTATCTTCAAATGTGAGGCTTTAAAAAAAGAGATTCGGTCTTTCAAAATGAAACGAATTTTGTTTATTAGTAAAACAAATATCAACGACTTAGGCCAAGTATTTTATGCATGTATAACAATACTTGAAAAATGTGTGCTGAAATATTTTGTCAAACTTGAGATTTTCTTCTAAAAAATTACTCATGCTGAACTTTTTTGATCTATGCGTACTTTCAGAAATTTTATCGCTGACGCGTACCTTACACATCTATTTGCCAAGTAGCAACACATTATGTTCTCGAGAGCAGAACGACATTACAGCCATAAATTCGGTATCGGCGAGGAAAAACGTGAACATCGAATTTACATTGGGAATTCAGCCAAAGTAATACGAGAAGTAAACGCTCGTCGAGGCTTAAGATGGTCCATATCGTAAATATATATACATGCATGGCTTAGGAAGAATCGTGCAACAATAAATTTCTCATCGCGAGAATACTTTACCTATTCGAAACAGCCCATAAACTATGAGACTTTGCGAGCTCAGTAAGATTTTAGTACGTCCTTTAGTTTTGTGCAGTGATGTACTTGTGCAAATGATAAGATACTAAATACTTGAAAGTAATGCTATTACTAAAAATATTTTCATTTAATAAAATGTACTTTTTATCAATCTTCCATTACGTAAAGTAAAAATGAATAAGTTTGAAAAACTGTTTCTTTGCATGAGTAAAATTGAATTCAAAGGCTACTTTAACACGAACATGATACATTTTTCATAAAAAATATTCGTTTGTAAAAAAAACTAGTTTCACCCTTTAACTATACAGCGACGCAAGACGTCCAGAGCAGCCCGTAAAAACTATCAATGAGTGATAGCTTTTGCAGTCATATCAGACCTTCCGCAATGCATTAGATTAATGCATTTCTTTTTCCGGTCAGCTGTGCAGTCGCTCGCGCTTGCCTTTTACGGCACTTTCCTTCTCTCTCTCTCTCTCCGTTCTCTACTCACATAAAAGGCATCGATCGCGTCACTGCGAGTTCAAATAAGCTGTAAAGTAGGTATAGGTAAGTACTCAAGCGCGGAACATTTAAACGATTTCTCCTGCCGCAAGCTTTCGATACAAGTGAAACGTTTTACCCGCAAGTCTTTTAATTAAATTTGAATTCTATACACTCTTTCTCTCCTTTTCTTTCGTGCTCGCTCGCTCGCTCGCTCTCCCTTGCGCATTTCTGATGCTCCTTTCAATTTCAAAAGTATCAAACTCTCTCAGTCATTGAAGTTTTAAAAGCTATATCGGATTGATTTTCAAGTGTAGTATTACAATCGCATAGTATAGAATGCCCAGTTTTTCAATACGTCAACGCAACGCCATTACGGACCCGAGAAAAGATGGTAAGAAGAAAAAATTTGCTCAGTTGAAGTAAATTAATTTGGAATTCATTACCTCTCTTCACCTTCTTCGCTGCGAAGTGAATAATATCAAAAGAAATTTTTCAAAGAAATCGTAACTTCAGCATGTGACCCAATTGACTCAAGTCCAAAACCTATAGAATTTCAAAGTATTCTGATAATGAGATATCAAAAATTGTGCAAAAATGTCCCATGTGAAACCTTGCATTTCTCAATAAATCATAGAGATTTTAATTTTTGTAGACGGCGCAAAGAAAAATACGAAAAATCTTATAAAAATAAATAAATAACTAACTTTCTGTGGTCGAGCTAATGCTCCTCGTGTATAAACGTCCACACACATGCATACAAGTATATATAACGAATGAAATAAAGTTTACAAATATGTAAACAAAATTTTCCTGGGATACCTGGTTCGAAAGATCATTTCCAAGTATATCATAAAACTTCCTCCACGAGGAAATGAAAATTTCATGTTTATCCAGATGTTAAAAAATTTTCAATAAAAAGTTTAAATTACTTCAAAGAAAAAGTGAAACTCAATTAATATTACTTCTCACGCGAAAGTAACTATCGATTACAAACTCAAGACTTTATATGTATACATGTATTATGAGTTTACATAGTGCTCTCGTCGTAGTGCTCACGTCGTTGTGTGGACAATTAACAAACATATTTCCTGCGAACAAACCCTGAACTTTTTCAAAGTTTTGAGCTAAATATTCATAATAGATTTCTATCATAAGCACAAGTCACGTGGGGAATCGGAAAATTTTTCATTTGATCGAGAGAAATGAGTTACTATATAGTATTGTGATCAAGAGAAAAACTGAAAGACATATAAACGACAACTTTTCTAGAAAGAAAAAAAAACAAACCGTTTACATGGAAAAAGAAAAAAAACGAAAAATTTAAATGTTTCGACAAATTACGCGTATATGAAAGAGGATTGTGAAAGAGTAAAGGAAGCAGAGAAATGAGCTTGATCTTTCATTAATTTCAACAAACTTTTTTTATTCAGTCTTTTCTTGTACACTCGCAGTATACTGTGTGTGTGTGTGTGTGTGTGTGTGTGTGTGTGTGTGTGTGTATTAAAAATTTAAACTGACGTGTACTGTTTGCTTTCAACACTGCTTTAAAGTAATATGCATGAGTGCAAAGTTTATTACATTAATTTAAATGTCCGTTCCAATTTTCTTTTTATTTCCAAAATTTATGTGCCAACATTGAATTTTCAATTCTTTTCGATATCAGACAATTGAAAATTCTGCTCTTACTATTTGTTTCAGTTACGACGCTAGAAATCTACATCTCGGCAAAGTCAAGTATTGGAGCGCAGAACATTTTTGGGGTAATCGAGCAACGTTTCGAACAAAACCGTCGGGTGAATTAGTGATAAAAGATGTGAGGGAAGGCGATGCCGGAGAGTTCAGGTGCCGAGTGGACTTTCGAAATTCGCCAAGCAAAAATCAAAAAGTTAATTTTACAATAATAGGTAAGTGGAATATCGATCACATGAATATCATTGGAAATAATTCAAATGCAATAAAAGCGTATAAATACCTATCGAAATTTTCGCTTCGAAAACAAATATGAAAGGATATGAACGTGACTTTGGTTACTCTATTCATGTACCCTTGCTCAGAATTGGTAATTCAATCTTGTTCGCATTCGGCTATAAATTTTAGTGAAATATACTATTGCCCATTAAAACTGTGCTGCACAACGACAGCGAATAGATGCGAAAATAATTACGTGAAATAATGGAATAATTTATAATATCATGATATTAATGAATTGATAATTAAAGTCTGTATCCAAGCTGCATCGCGAAAGACAAAATTCTGCCAATATTGCAGATGAATAGAGCAACAAAGCTTCTCGGTGTATGTGTGTGTATATGCGCGCGCTCGTAGCAACAACAAACAGAAGCATTTCAAGTTAGCGATGCTTAACAATGCAGTCGACAAAGCTAAAGAGATATAGATACCAAGAGATAGGCCAGAGTGGGGTGAGGAGTATAAGCACGCGCTGTCAAACCAATAAACCTCATCAAACCTTGCAAATAGCGAAGCGAATTATACACACGCGGGCTGCTGCTGCACATCAAAGCGCAGAGCTCTTTCTCTGACTCGAGTCGTGCTCTGTTCGCTGCATCTTTCGCTCGATATAAATGTTTCGCCAAGTCTCTGTATAGGATCTTTTGTTCAGTGGCTTAGCCGAATTCAAGGTGCACTTATAAACCGAGAGATGCTCTCGGCTGAAGTGGAGACGACGATCGAAAAAATCTCAATTAAATGCAATGCTTGCGATTCATAGCAAATTGTATAATATAATGCCCACATTATAAATGCTAAGAACTCGAGAAAAACTTGTAATACCCTTGAGATGACTCTGTGTTGGGCTTACGCTCGATTATAAGTCTTTAGTTCTGAGCAAATCGATTTAAAAGTTAACTATTGTCTAAGCAAAGAGAAGGACTCTTATACATACAATTCGCATACACATAGAGACGAAGTAAGAGAGAAAGACAGAGAAGCCGATCAATTGTCTTTCTTTCTATTTTTCTCTCCTTTTCTCTTCTTCTCTCTGAAAACGTATATGAGATGAACGCCGATCTGCCAGCGCCGGGTATACATATACTTTACTTTAAGTCCTTTCGGCATTGGCATCGCTAACGCAGTTTGTCTTCCAAACGTCCATTAAACTGAATTAGGAGCGACTTGCTCTTCTCTCTCTATCTTTCTCTCTTTCTCTTTCTCCCTTTCTCTCTTACCAGCCCAAGTTAAGAAAAAGTTATACCATTTCAGCGGCCATTATGCCGTTCGTTCATAAAAAAACGCGTGCTACCGAAATAAAAAATCCGTTTTGCATTTATAAAATGTGCAAATAATTAATGCACATTTCAATACAAAACTTTACATCTAAAATCTTAGAATACTTTTATCTGCAAAAATACAAAAGGAACTACAAAAAATCGCCATTCGAGCCGTTATTATTTAATAAAATACACCATTGAAAATACTTAGATTAAAATTAATAGAAAGTTGATGTAAATGTAGCAGGGAGAAAACGTTAATAATCTATTCAACAACGAATTTTAACCGATTATTTGAATTTAACACTTGTTTTCACTTCACTACTTGCAGATTTACAAATAAAGATACTCGCCATCTAGCGGTAGAGGCTAAGTTTAATTTTGATTGAATTTTCATACTCTTTTAGAGCAATTAGCGAGTAAAATAAATCAGTATGAACATGCGATTTCTATCAATTACAATCTAAACGTTTTCAACTCGAGTATTGAATTGAATCTTTTCGGGTCAACATCATTAAAAATAATGCAAATAAATCAGTTTTTATACAAAAAAATTCAACGAAGATTTCATGTAAAAATACCTTAAATAATATTCAGTACCAGTTGCTTTAATTTTAATGTCTGATTTAAAAAAAATTGTCAACAGTGTATGTTATACTCGCGATTCGAATTCATTCTACATACTGATACGATATCGAAAAGGGGTAGTGACAGAAAGGGAATTAATTAAGGGACATTCTTATATGTATATTTGAGTGCAGCGCGCGTGAAGCCTTCTTTTGTGAGTCTGATTGAAATCTTCGGAGGTAAATACGCTTAACCTGCTCTCATGCTCGCTCATGTGCAAAGTCTTTTGAAGCTTTAACGAGCTTTTCAATGATGGCACACACATAAGCACACGAAGGTTTAGTTGCACTGGCAAGCACTCGTGCGATCCAAAGAAAACGATCTTTTAGGTAATCATCGAGATATCCACACGTTCTCAGGCCCCCTTTCACTGCGAACAGTTATCTAGCTTTGATTTTGTTTAAGTAATTAATAACGTCAAAAGGATAAAATGATGCAGATGCTTGTTTGCTCACGATATAAGATGTAGTAGATTTAATGCCGTATATGTGTGTGTGCGCATGAGGCATCGCGCGAGAGATAGCAGAGGCGGGCAGGCAGCAAAGATTGGCTCCTAGCCTAGCCCAGGCTGATGCTGCTGCTGCTGCGCGCTCAACTAGAGCGAAAACGAGCTCTGCGCGCAGCCTTATTAGGGCTAACCGAGCGCACTCTCGACGCGATTCCTTGATTAATGGCTCACGTTTCCCCGGCTGCACACGTCAATTTAGTCAACGAGATACCGAGACGAGAGAGAGGCTTGACGCACCCTGCCGTGGTATTACATAAACATGGACTCTCTGCAGCCTGCGAGATAAAGAATAAAACAATGGCAAAAAGCGCGAAGCGAAAACTGTCGATATCGCCTCGTCACTTGTTTTCCTTCCGATGAAAAATACGACGATGCTTTTGCTTGCAGGAACGCCATGACGCCCAGAGATGAGGGAGAAAAGTTCTTTTTTTTTTACAATCGCGTATGTGAAGCGTGTGCGATTACCAAGGGCGCCGATCGCCATATCAATCTGGCGAAAAAAAAGAAAGTGTCCGGTTTTTTTTCTGCGTCGATCCGATGCCACTGTAGTCCGAGATATTACTCCGACGTGCTGTAAGTGAACTTTTTTTCACGAGCCCTCGGCTGACTGATGTCCGTTTGAACTTTGATTTTTCGGATTCAAGCTGCCAAAAGAACTCGTGTGCGCTTCCATCCGTAAAATGGCATCGGCGATTTGTTTGTCGATTGAATATTTTTACACATAGAGATATTTTATTTATTACCTATAGCATTAAAGACAGTAGGTGTCCGTATCACATTTTCAACGCTGTTCATTTGATGAAGAATCGAGTGCTTGCACGGGTTTCGTTTCATAACTAAAAGCTGATGCGTATACGTGGGCTAAATTCGGCGAACGAAGAAAACAAAGCCAAAATCTAAAATACTCCATCGGAATAAAAATAATTCGGACGCTTTTGTGCGATACAAATGAGTATCGCGTGCATCAAAAGTACTTGAGCGTGTAAAATCTACCTCGTGAAATTAAAAGTACCTTTTACTGACACATAATATGTACATTTACGTTCAGACGCGTATACATTACTTCATATATCAAGAAAATTTTTCACTTAAGTAAATACGCCTTTTAATAAAACTGATATTATATATACATATGCAAGAAGTTCGAAACGTTAATATTATGTAGGTAACAAGAAAGGAAAAATACGAAGTTGTGCTCGAAGGCAATAGATATACAGATTTTTTTCAGGCTTTCACTGTGAGAGAGCAAGCTGCGACTCAAAACAGAGCGCACGAAACGATTTAATATCAGAAAGTGGAAATTGAATTTAAAAACATAATATTTCTCGGAAAATTTCTCGAGTACCATTCGACACACACTATCTATAAAGGGTACACATATACAGTGACACACGTACCTCACGAAAACTGAGGCCAAGATTAAAGTGCGCGCTGCTGCAGCAGCAACGCTTGTGCTGTTTCCGTGCGAAGTGCGATGGGACCTCGGGAAATTCTCTCTCCAGGGGTTTTACGGCGTACCTCAACAAGAGAATTGACAAGCTGCGCGCGCAACGTGCAGTGTGCCTCGCGCACGACGAGCCTGTCAAGTCGCACACGAAAAAAAAAGAAACGCAAAAACTTTTCATAGTTTAGCACTTTAAGGATGAAATGGATTTAACATGAGCATCTTGCCTATGTACCGCTTTGACACGCGACACTCGTGAAAAATATACCTCCGTCCATACGCTGTACGCCTCGAGAATATATTGATTTTTTGAGAGAGGGTACAGCAAGCCACCAATCGCTTGAATTTTTCAAAATAACTTGTGTGAATGAAAAACAGCGAATCAAACGAATTGAAACCCACAGTTATAAAATACAATCGTTCGGTGTGAAAATTTAATTTAATGGGCACACAAGATACCGATCATTGCTCAAGTTTGCTCGCGCGCAATCGCTCATCGAGAACAAATGTCATTTTTCTACGTCTTGACCTTTCGCACAAAAAAGCGAACTCTTTTTCTTTCTCCGTCTGATCCTTTTATCCGCATGCACAGAGAGACACCACTGACTTTTCTTCAGCTTCGCCATTGTTATGAGAGAGTGTTTTCTCACGTTTGTATGGACGACAAAAACGTTATTTTTCATTTCATTTATTTTGTTAAAACCTAATTTAGTTTCTGCTTTGCGGGATTAATGGTCGACGATCGAATAAGCAAGGTTAGTTTTTCACTCCTTTTTTTTTGGACTTATTTTCAACTTATATAACTTTCTTTTGTACACGAAACAAGAAAACCATTTAACGCGTCGGTTTGTCTAGAAATTTCTATACCATTACTGACTTGTTCATTTCTTTTTAACGTGATCTGAGGATTGGTTTCAACCATTAAAGATATGATAATAACAATTGTTAGTATTTCAGTAGAATTATTTACATGGTTAGCAAAAGGTTATTGAAAGAAAATATCGAAACAAAACATAATTTAGGGTATGATTCTATTAATTTGAAATTTTGATTCAAATTGAAACAATTTTGAATGCTATTGACATTCAAATAATAATA